ACGCTTAGTGACCATGTGCTGCCGAATGAACAAACTGGCCCAGCTGGTGGACAGGCTGCCCACAGCCACAGAGAAGCTTACCTTCTGGACTGTGAAGGTTCGGATGACGTATTCTGCCAGGGGCTCTGTTTCAATCAGGGTGACTTTAATGTCTCCGTAGACCTCAGTGTCATCCGGCCAGTATCGCACACACTTCACCTGTGGCCAAGTGAGAGACAGAGAAAGGATGGAGACGAGGGTATATGAGCAGGTGGCTGGGCGTGAGCAGCCACCTCACCTGGACCTCCCATTCAAATAAACCCCAGGGTGACTTCGGTGGAATTTCAGTCCAAGGGGGTCTCAGCCAGCCAGGAATCAGCAAACTGCACAAGGCCAAGCTCACTCCCTAGAGGAACTGGAGCCGCGAGAAATAATAATAGTACCTTCTTTTGCAAAGCTGCTTATAATTTTCAAATCCATTTAATGCACTAAGTGAACGAACAGAACTAGGTGAGTAGGCATATATTATTATGCCCATTTTACAGATGAAAATAATACTGAAGGTTGAGGTTTGGGGACTTGTCCAAGGTCACGTGGCCAGCTTTCTACCTTTTGGCTGAATCCTCTTTCTCCTATAGCAGGCTGGAGCAGCTGAGCGTTTTCAGCTGAGCAGAGATCAGAGTAAAAGATGGGGAATAGAGAGCAGGTGAAAGCGGAAGTGGTCAGGAAGGGACGTTATTAAGAGGTCATAACTGGGGGCTGGGAGGAGAAAGGCTCTTAGCTGGGAACAGGATGGAAGGTGCTGGGCCAAAGGGAAGACTTTGCAACTCCTGTGCCCCTGGCAGTCAGTGCAGATGCTGCGAACAAGCCATCCCCACCTTTCGCTCTCTAAGCACACTCTGCAGGAGAAGGAGAGCATCCGTTTCCCCTTAAAAGAACAAAAGCATTACCATTCCGGGGGACGCCGCGCGGCCTAGAGTGGCATTTCCCACAGCGTGTCCCGCTGGGTGCTAACGGGTGTTAGGTAAAAACAGGAAACAAAAGAAACAAAAAAAGGTTTTGTGGTCCAAGGAGTTTGGGAAATGCTGGATTAAACAAAGTTAAACAGGGCCTTGCCTCGGGCTGCTCAGCTCCTTTGATGTGCTAATGCTACTTAATGATGTGTTTTAGGGCTTTCCAAAAGGGGCACAGCGCATACAGCATTTCCCAAACGTATTTAACCATGGAACCCTCTTCTCACTAAGCATCCTGCAGACTAGCATCCCGTGGAACCCACTTAGGGAAACACTGGTATAGTGCGATTAGCTTTGGAGTCAAACGAATTCAATGCCTGGCTCCAACATTCAGTAGCTACAGAGCTTCCAGAAAGTGATGAAACACCTCTCTGAGCCCTAGCTTTCTATTAATAATAGTAAACAGTAACCAGTTGTCATCAAGTAGATTCCAACTCATGGTGACCTCACGCATGTCAGAGTAGAACTGTGCTCCATAGGGTTTTCAGTGGCTGATTTTCTGGGGAAGTAAATCTCCAGGCCTTTCTTCCAAGGAGCCTCTGGGTAGACTCATGCCTCCAACCTTTCGGTTAGCAGCCTAGCACATTAACCGATTGCAACACCCAGGGTCTCCATTAATAATGGTAGCTAACATTTATTGACTGCTTACTGTGTTTCAGGCACTGTTCTAAAAATACTTCACGTGCATGATTTTTATTTATCACCTCAACCTTAGGAGGTAGATATTACCGTTATCCTCATTTTACAGATGAGGAACCTGAAGCACAGGGAGGCTAAGAAAACTGCCCAAGGTCAACTGTTAGTAAGGGATGGAGCCAGGATGCAAATCCAGGTGGTCCAAATAATTACCAGGAAAATTAACTGGTACTGTTGTTGTGAGATAAAATGAGGTAATGCTCTTTAAGTGTCCGGCACGGTGCTTAGCTATAGAAGGAGTTCACTGAGATATTGTTCTCCTGTCCCCTCCCCAAATCCAGTTTGGATTCATGGTCTGTCCATCAAGGGAACCTGTCTCAGTGTGGGATATGTTGTAGGACAGGCTGGAATTTGCATCTGGATTCTTGAATCCTGGATGGCCTTTTTGTCCACGGTGGGTACATCTTGAGCCTGAAGTCATGAGACCATGAGCACTGGAATGTGAGTCCAGAGTTAGAGATCATCCCCAGGTTCTAGCTGGGAGGTCACTCCACCTCTCTGGGTGTTTCCTTATCTGTAAAACTGGCGAGTGGGCTAGGTAAGAGGGGACTCAAGGATAAAGTCTCTCCTGGCCCTAAGTTTCTATTAGGCCATGAGATGTCTACACCCCTTTACTGAGTGATAACTTGTGGTTCAGATTCTCCCTTTCTCATCATCATGGTGACCAGGACCCTCCTCTATGGATTATCTGGGTTTTGCTAAAGCAAAAGTATACCTACCCACTCTTTCGTTAGCTCTAGAGAGGCCTTGTTAATTCTGGTTTTTGTGTACCCTGCCTTTACACCCAGCACCCACCCACCCACATGCCACAGCTTACCAAATAGGCAACAGCAAGCTGGGAGTAGCAGTCCCATTTCTAAGCCCTAGGAATAGTTAAGAACCACATAGGAGAGATTGGATATAGAGAAGAGAGGGGACCAAGGCCCAAGCTCTGAAGAATATCAAGATTTAGACGTCAGGGGTGGAAGAATAGCCAGTGGAGTGTCATATGCTGCCTAGAGGTTGAGTAAGATGAGGAGAGAGAAGTGGCTATTGGATTTGTCAACATGGAAGGATGCTAGTGATATTGACAGTGCCACTCTTGATGGAATGGAGGGAGAAGCTAGGTTGGAGTGGGTATAAGAATGAGAGTGAAGGAATAGAGCCTGTGTGTGAGTCTTCAAAATTTGGCAGAAAAATGCAGACAAGAGGATGATTTTTGTTTGCCTGTTTTGTCTTTTTAAGGGGAAAGGTACTGAGCATGTAGGTATGCTGAGGAGAACAACCTAGCAATGAGAAAAAGACTCATTTTTCAAGTGATGGGGGGACAATGAGAAAATTCTTGAGCAGAGCCTGTGATTCAAAGCACTAGGCTTGCCTTTGAAAGGGAAGAGACACTTCTTCCACTGTATTCGGTTGAGCCATAAGAAATGACTGACATTCAACTGTTTTTCTTATGGTTCAGCTTGGTAACAGAGGGGAAGAATGAGAAGATGGTTGTAGATACAAGTAGGACTATAGCTCTGTGGTGAGGAGATGAGGGAGTTCACCTCTGATGGCTTGAATTTCCTCAAAATATATGAGATGACATCATCAACAAAGGGTGAAGTGGAGAAGGAGATGAGGGAAATCTGAAGGGGAGAACAGTCCTCAAATGTAAAACAGGAACGATGATTTTTCCCGCATCTCGCGTAGGTTGCTGTGAGGATGAAATATTGACTAGGAGGCACTGAGCACAATGCACAGAACAGAGGGATGCTCAGTCCTGCAGTTCCAACATCCTCTCCCCTGGAAACTGCAGGAGAGGCTTACCCTGCCCACCTCCACGAGGTTGGTGACCATGACGATGCTCGCCGAGTTCTCCTGCCAAATCATTCTCCAAAAGTCCTTTACCGTCTCCTGCATTGGACCTGCCAACAGAGAAGGTGGTAGACGTCAGAGGTTGAGGGTGCAAGAAGGCAGCCAAGAGGTTATATCCTCTTGGTTAGTCAAGGCACCTCATGGATAAGTGAGAGTGAGGCTGGGAACTCCTAGCTAGCAGGTGAGCCTGATGAGGCCAATTCAGAGTGTGGATAACAAACAGCCACATTCCAGAATACCAGGGCTTGCAGCATCTATTGGAAATGTTGACAGCATCCCCTCTTTCCTATGTCACCCTCTTGGTCAGACCCTTTCCACGAGTCCCACTTTTCCCCTGGACTATATCATGGGGTGTGGTTTGGGGGAGTTATAAAAAATAGGGCTCCAGAATCCCAATGCGAGACAAGAAGGAAATTGGGGGAGGAGGGTGGCTGACAGAGAGCACAAATTGGAGATGCCTGATTTTGAGCTTAACAAATCACAGAGGCATTTGTCTGGAGCCTGAACTGAAAGGAAGGGAGAAAAATAAGAATAAAAAAAAAGACAAGAAGTGGGAGATAGGATCTGACAGTCCAAAGCAATTTCCTTTGAAAATGGCTGTTTGGATGTTTTATTCTCTCTTTTGATGTCCTGGGCCTTCATCATTTTTAAAATTCCGAAAGCAGGATGCTATGTTTGATATAAAATACATATAATTTCGAATACTGTTTTTCTTTTTTTTCTCTTTTTTTTAATTGTTGTAATTAAATGAAGTTTGCCTTTCAAATTAGTCTCCCATACAAAATTTTTTTTTTTTTTTTTTACTTACATTGTTATGAGACCCCAGCTGCTCACTCCATTCTGCGACAGCACACTCCTCCCCTCTGCCCCTGATTCCCCATGAACATTCAACCAGCTCCTAACTCTCTCTGCCTTCCCATCTCACCTCTGGACAGAAGCTGCCCCTTTGGTCTCTTGTATCTACTGGACTAAGAGGCATATTCTTCATGAGCATCACTTTATGTCCCAGAGTCCAGTCCAATCTCTGTCTGAAGAGTTGGCCTCGGAAATTGTTTTAGTTCTGGGCTGATAGAGAGTCCAGCGGCCATGCTTTCCAGGGCACCTCCAGTCTCAGTCAGACCATTAAGTCTGGTCTTCTTACTAGAATTTGAGTTCTGCATCCCATCGTTCTACTGCTTCATCAGGGACCCTCTGTTTTGTTCCCTGTCAGGACGTTTGTTGGTGGTAGCCGGGCACCATCTAGTTCTTCTGGTCTCAGGCTGATGAAGTCTCTGGTTTATGTGGCCCATTCTGTCTCTTGGGCTAATACTTTCCTTGTGTCTTTGGTGTTCTTCATTCTCCTTTACTCCAAGTGGTTGGGACAAATTGATGCATCTTAGATGGCTGCTTGCAAGCTTTTAAGACCCCAGACACCACTCACCAAAGTAGGATGCAGAACATTTTCTTAGTAAGCTTTGTTATGCCAATTGACCTAGATGTCCCCTGAAAGCATAGTCCCCAGACCCCTCATCCCTGATATTCTATCTTTCAAAGTATTTGATTGTATTGAGGAAACTTCTTAGCTTTGGTTTAGTCCAGTTGTGCTGGCTTCCTCTGTAGTGTGTGCTGTCCTTCCCTTCACCTAGGATGATTCTCATCTACTATCTAGTTTGTGAATAACCCTCACCCTCCCTCCCCATCCTGGTAACCATCAAAGAATGTTTTCTTCTGTATTTAAGAAAGGTATGATCATTTTTAAGTGGGCTGATAACATACTGCCAAATTGCTTTCTAGGGCAGATGACGGCATCTCTCTTACATGCTTGCGCCCGTCAGGGAGATCAGGCCCCCCTCAGCTCTACCTGAATGGTAGATGTCTGGGAAACAGGCCTGAGGCTGATGCTTTGGGTCTGCCCTGCCTAGGGCTCTTTTTCCTGACCATTTCCTAGTGATCTGTCTCGCTCATATTCCTTCCTCCTGTAGCTGAACTTGTCACCTCCTTCCCTCCCAAACAAACAAATACACAATCTCAAGGCCCCTTCCAGGCTCTCCAGCCCTATCCTCTGTAGCTTCGTAGCCAGTGGAAACTCATTCCTCTTTCCAGTGAGGGGCAAGGACCCTTTGGTGTCCAAGCAGTGTTGGGACAACAGATGTAAGTGGAGAGCAAGAGGGTTCACTGCAGTTATTCCCCAGAGAACCTCCTTCCCAGGAGCCCTTGAGGTGTGTCCAAGGCACCAGGTAGAGGAAGGACTCTTACCTTGAGTTGCAATGTAGTGTCGAGGCCGATGGTATCCCTGGATATAGAAGAAAAGCACAGTGAACAGTCTCCAACCAAAGCTTGCAAACAGCACAATATCAAGTTATCCTCCCTAAGCTTTCATTTCCTCGTAGGTAAAAACAGAAATAGCATTGGCTATTTCCCAGAGAAGTAGCAAAGATTAAGTAAGATAATGCATGCAAAGTGCTTAGTAACTCACTAAATGCTAGCTATTATTATCCAGTAATACCTACGAAAGCCAGAACCTGTGTAAGGCGGAAACCTGTTAGAGAAGAAAAACTCAAATATTTTCCACTAAAACTAGCGATAGAAAAGTGGTAAGGCTGCACCCTGTCAAAGGTGGAAAACTTGCGAGACCTGGAAAAACAAGTCAGTCCCATGGAGTTCCAGCTCTCACAGGTTTCACTGTATGTAGTTATTTGTGAGGTGCCCATACAGACTTGGCTGGGAGTGTACTTTTCTTCACTTGGGACATGGGACATGCCATTTTACTCGCCATCCCCTGTGCCGAGTGCAGTTCTTGGAAAATGTTCATTGGCAGAATACATGCATGAATATGTCTTTGAGGTGAGGTTGGGGTACCACTTAATGGCTGGGCTGGAAGACAAAATACCTTTTGAAGGAAACCGAGGTTTGGAAGATTCCCTGTGCTCGCAAGGCAATGGAATGAAATTCTAAGCGGAGTTAGATGGAGTTAGATGTTCGTTCATGTGCTCACTCAGTCACTTAATATTATCGACAGGTATCAGTTGAGCACTTACGACTCCGTATAAGGTACGGGAAATACAAAAGTGGACAAGATGCCCGTGGGCTCTGTCTTTGGGCAGCTTACAGACATCAACAAAATAATTACACAAGTAAAGGGAAATATATAACTGGGATTTGGGCTGCCATGGGGGAGATATGGGGCTCTGTGGAGCATGCACGGGGATGTGAGTCAGTCAAGAAGGCCAGAGAATGTTCTCTGAGAGGTGGTGGCTGAATTGGCATCTTAAACCTAGTTTGGGCATCTCAACATCCCTGTTACTACCATTTCATCCCTTCAGCAAATATGCCCAGCTTTCCTTCCACATCTCCATTGCTCACTGGTTTTCTTCCTCTTCTTCAGAAATATCAATTATGTTTCCTTCTGGAGGCCTCAGCATTGGCCATCCCCTCTGCCTGCTGGTCTGTCCCCAGAGAATCCTTCCCTGACTGCCCTGTCAGGTTCCTTCCACTTCCTTTGGTTTACCCTTTTTCAGGGTACTTACCACCAACTATATTTATTCATGTGCATATTGTCTCCCCCAGTTGAATGTGATCCCCACCAGGGTAGGGGCTGTATCCACCTTGCTCATAGCTGTGTCCCCAGCACCTAGAAGACTCCCTGGTCCATCAGCCTCAATAAGTATGTGTTGAATAAATTTAAGAATGCAAGCATGCATGCTGCGTGCCTGCCCCATGCTGAATCGGTAAAGAGACCCTCCCTGGCCTCCAGGAATCCATATGGTCCCCGCAGAGAAAACATTCTAACCATGAAACACCTCAGCACTAGAGATAAAAGGAAATGTACTTCTCATTGGGGCACCTCTGAGGATTCGCCAAGTGCTGGTATAGAAAACTTTCTAACCTTAAAAGAACTTTCAGTTCATTTAAGTACCCCCTACACAGCATGCAGACATACTGCTAACCAGCACTGGGCCTGCCTCCATCTGTCTGTGAGCAATGGGAGAGAGGTTTGTATCCAAAATGCATTTATCTCACTCTGCACTCATGCATCTGTTCTTACTGGGGACCCAGATATGACATTTATTTCCAGGTTGGTAATTCATAAAAGATTCAAGTGGCCAAACCATTCTCAGGTGTGTAAACAAACCAGCCAGCAGGATAGTTCAGATGGTAGCAGAACCACAGCCTCCAGAGGCCCACACAGGTCTGGCCCCATCCAGCTCATTATCCAAATGGAGTCATTTTAATGAATTGTCAAGATCCAATTGTGGATAAATGATTCTAGTATGGGCAGTTAGCTCTTTGGAGAGCCCAGGAGGATTTTGGCTGGGTCGGAGAACAGGGCAAAAAGGGTAAGGACCTAGACAGCTGTCTGAGTGCATCTTGCCAGAAAACCCCATAAGGACCCCAGGTATTCTTAAGTTTGCTAATGCCATTCCCCCATCCTCCACCTACTTCATAGTGGTAACACTGTATTCGGAGGCACTTGTGTTGGGTATCTTCTCTTTGTCCCTCCACTTCCCAACTCTTCCCTTCCATGCTCTGCTTTGTGCCCTGGGAGGTTGACTGTATGGACTACACCATGGGCTCCTATGCCTTCTGGCTTCTAAGTTGGGTTTGGCCAATGGGGAGCAGAAGCAGGAATTCAAAGGCCAGAAGGAGAGTGAGGTGAGGGCATGTTTTTCTAGGTCCCCCCCTGCTAGATCACCATGGGCTGGCTGTGTTGCTCCACCAAAGGCTTCAGTCCTATCAGGCAGCCCTTCGCTCACAGAGACTCTCCCCTCTTCCCTTTAGGCCTAGGACTAGTAAACACTTCCTGCTGTTGCTGACCCTAGGGTACTGCACTCCCTGTTTGAGTGAACATCTGTTTCCTGATGGGACCCTGGCAATCTTTATATAAGTTATCCTACTTCGTGTAGGGTGGCATTATATTATCCCATTGTACAAATACCAGAATGAGTAAGTAATTTACCAAAGATCACAAAGCTAGTAAGCACAAAGGCCTGGTTTCAACAGGCCCAACAAGGACTGAATTCATGATTTTGGTCTTGTTAGCCATTCACTCTAATCACTGGGATCACGCACAGAGATCCAACATCACATATTAAGATAGCATCCATCTAGCAGAGGCAGTTGGGCCTGTCTGCACAGTCTACTTCTTAAGAGAGAGGAGGTTGTGCTGTGTCCTAAGTGGGCAGAGGATTTCATTCTAGCTATATGACCTCGGGTAAGGCTCTTACCCTCCAACCCCTGGTTTCGTATCTTTAATGCTCCCAAAATGCACTGTGATGATAGAATATGATAGAAATTGGAGGTGTTATTAGTTTAGATGTTGTAGAGATTCATTATATTTAAGGCAATTTCATTTGTTGCCCATAGAACACCAAAGTGCCTCTTGGCTCTGGCTGCAGCCAGACACTCCCTCAACTTTGGATTGAGTGTTTATCTTGGAAAGTGAACTTCACTGAGGCTGTCTACTCAGATGACAAATTTCAGATACAGCAGCTCAGGCTGGCAAACCCCACGTGGGCTGCGGCCCTCAGGGCTGCCATGTCCACCCAGCCATAGACAAAATCGAGGAGATGTGGCAGGAATCAATTCAGTCTGGTTCAACACGTGCTAGCTGAGTCCCCACAGGTCAAGTTGGGGAAACAGAAGCCACTCTAAGTGTGCGGGGTCCAAGGTGGTGCCAGGAATGGGGGAGGGGGTCAGGATAAAGAGTACTGGACTGGGAGACATCCAGCTCTGGTTCCTATTCTGGTTCTGCCACTGACCAGTTGCATGGCCTTGGACCAACTTTACAGTCTCTCCAATCTCAGCTTCCCTATCTGGAAAATGGGGGTGATAATACCTTCCTTGAAGGATTATTGAGAGGTCTCATTAAGCTGACACATTTTAAACCGCTCATCATAGGGCCCATGAATGACCCAACCCAATTGTTGCCATTGCTTTATTGTTATTAAAGCCTGATTCAAACTTCTGCCCCCACACTTCCCTCACCTCCTAGCTGTGTGATCCTGGATAAGTTACATCTCCTCACGAGCCTCAGTTTATTCTGAGTGGGTAGTAATGGCACCTACCTTGTGGTCACGGTGTTAGTTAAGGCAAATGATGAAACAGCTAGCAGAAAGTCTGGCCCATGAGAGGTGACCAATAATTCTTAGGTTACTATAAATCCTCCTTGCCTGGCTGACTCTTACTCATCCTCTGAAACTGCATGAGAGATCACTTCCTCCAGGAAGCCTTCACCCCTCACCCCTATTCTCTACCCTCAGGTTTGGATTTTTCTTTGTGCTCCCATAGCACCTACTCTGTGAAGGTCTCTTTTCTTATGTGACTTCCTCCATAGACTACGTGTCCCTTTTAGGTTTCAGGCACCTGGTCTTAAAGGTCTCTGGCACACAGTGGAGGGTCTGTGTAGTGTTTGTGAAATGAAATACCAGATGAATGAGGGAAAGGCTGCAGGTGTGGTTGGGTGAAAGCTGGGAGTGCCTCAGTCCAGGCTAGAGACAAGCCATCACCTTGTGAACTTTCCCAGAAGGGCCATGGTTGGCAGAGACGGTGGAACTCCAGTCCCAGTTCTTGACCACATTCTAGGCCCTTGCATTAGTCAAGGTCAAATTGGGGAAACAGAAGCTGCTCTTAGTGTTTCAGACAGAGGTAATTTAGTACAGGGAGTTGGTTACAGGTTAAAGCGGAGCTGAGATGTCAAATGGGACAGTGAGGCAACCCAGGGATTAGCAATAGCAGGAGGCTAAAACCACGCCTCGAACTAGCAGAATGATGGGTGAAAGAAGTTAGCAGAGCCCCAGAGCTGGGGCCACGTGGCAGAAGCTGGAACTATGGCGGGCCTGCTTGATGGAAGCTGGAGCTACAGAGGGGATGCAACCATTGTGGGAGCTGCCGCCAAGGAAGAGAGAGAGGAGAAATATACTCTAGTCCCCTGTCAGAGCCTGCTATGGAGAAAACTCAGCCAGAAGCTGGCAGGGGAGCTGGGGAATGCAGCCTGAAGGGGTCACCCCCCACACATACCCCTGCAATGCAAAGCAGAGAGGTGAAAGGCAAGGAATGGATCTGAGGGCAAACCAGCAAATGATCAGAATTGGGCTTAATAAATGTATGTTGAATTAATGAATCATCTGGTTCAGCCTAGATTATGGGGAATCCACAAAGCATGCCACAGTGCTTTATAGTTTGTCTATAAATACACTGGGAGTCTGGGGGACCTCCATGAATCTCTGAGCCATTCCTCAAGGTCCTTGGGCTCCTGGCTCAGATGCTGAGAAGCCTGGCTCCATTAGTCATCCTGGGATGTCCATCTGGCCCACTAGCCATGCTCTCCCTCTGCAGACTCTCTCGCTTCCATGTGCACCTCTCTACCTCTTGGCTCCCGTTTAAGTTCAGCCCCTTTCTCATTAGCCTTAATTGCTCTCCTCCTTCTGATCTATTTTACCTTTGATGGCAGATAAATCATCCCAAAGTTCAGCTCTGAACTGGTCCCTTCGTTGATCAAAAACTTTAGATCGCTTCCTCTTGTCTACAGGGTAAAATCCACCTTTCTAAGTCTGACCATCTAAACCATCAATGACCCAGCCCCAACCTTATTTTCCACTATTCCCCATTATATAGACTCTGCTCCCCTCAAACCGAGCTTCTACATATCCTCTGCTTCCAGCTCTACGTTTTTGCTTGTGCTATTCTTTCTAACCATCTTCCTTCTCTTTGATTTCTAAATTCTACCTGTGCCTGAAGCTTTAGCTCACATCACATTTGCAGTCCTGATGGAAGAAGTGATCTTTCTTTCCCACCTCTGAATCCCCGCAGCCTTTTATCTGAACTTGTGATGCTTAGCACTTTCTAGTTTGCCCTAAAATTATTGATGCACACAACTCACCTCCCTGCTAAGGTTTTCAAGGGTAGAGACCATGGCATTTTTAGCTTTATGGTTCCCATAGCATCCAGCATCCAGTAGGCACTATTAAATTTTTGTTGCATATTCATGCAACAGACGAATGAATGGATGGGCCAACAGACAAATGTACAAATGAGTAAATGGGTGAATGAATAAGCCTGGGACCCCAGACTGCAGGCTACTTGAGCCAATCTTAAAAAGGATGCAGCTTTAGAACTTGGATAATCCACTTGGGTTACAGTGGTTACACAGATCAGGGAGGACCCAGACTGCTTTGGACAGTTCTGGAAAGGCCACCTTCTAGGAGAGAGGCTGGGGAACAACTCTAGGTCTAAATCCTGCTGAAGCCAACCCCAGCCAATCCCTGCTGTACAGCCCATCTACTCACATCGATGTAGTTGGCATTGATGTAGTCAGAGTGTGGGTCTCCGTCCAGTACCAGCAGCCTCACTCGGGAATGGTCATCTGCAAAGAGAGCAGAAAACAGGCGGATGATTGATGAAAGGCCTCTTGGTGAGGAGCCAGCAGTGGCCTGCTCTATCCTTTATAGCTGTTGTTACTGTTGGTAGCTGCTGTTGAATCGGCCCCCGACTCATGGCAACCCCATACGCAATAGAATGGAACACTGCCAGGTCCCACGCCATCCCCATGATTAGTTGCAGATTGGGCTGTTGTGATCCCTAGGGTTTTCACTGGCTGATTTTCAGAAGTAGATAGCCAGGTCTTTCTTCCTAGCTCCATTGAAACCTGTTCAGCATCATAGGAACATACAAGCCTCCACTGACAGACGTGTAGTGGCTGCACGTGAGGTGCGTTGGCTGGGAATTAAACCCAGGCTTCCTGCATGGAAGGTGAGACTTCTACCATGGAACCGCCACTGCACCCCGGGTGCCAGACATGATGCTACTTTTGCACATACTCTCTTGTTTAACCCTCAGCCCTGCTCTCAGTTATTATCCCTACTTAGAGATAAGGAAGTTGAGGCTCAGAGAGGTTACTATGCCTTGAAAAGAACAATTAAGCACCTCCTCTTTTTTTTATCTCCCCTTGATTCTGGTTTTGTTATTACCTACCTGGGTAAGTTACCTGCTTCTTTAAGACTTAGTGATTTCATTAGTAAAATGGGGATGAAAACACCTTCTTCATAGGGACCATGCAAGAGAGGCCACGTGAAAACACGCAGGATGCGATTGGTGTTGAATCTGAATTCATATGCTCCATTTTCATGCTTGCTTAAAAACGGCAAATTCACCTATTTTCCACACGTGCACCACTTGCTTTTCTTTTGCCTCTTGGAGGTTATCGGCCACATATTGTAATCAATACTATAATTAAAGTAAAGCTGACTAAATCACTATAAAAGAGGCCATCAACAACCAAAAACTGTCTTGGAAAGAGTACCTTTTCAAACACAATCTAGGCATAAGCAAGATTTGCAAGCTTTAGTCGATGACACACTCACTTCAAATAACACCAACTAAAATCTGTTAAAAAAAAAAAAAAAAACAAAAAACTAGTGCAGCAGAAGAACCAGGATAATCCTTTACAATTAATTAAAGTGAGCTCTGTCGTGCTAATTGACCCATGCAAACGGAGCATGCTGGTTGGGAGGAGCAGGCTGCATTTGCGATCAGGTCACTGCACATATATGATTGCAGAGTCGCTGCATTCACTGGCCAGTCCACCTTACTAGAGGGCAGGGGCGGGGTCTCCAGCAGGTGGGCTGGAGAGCTCCAGGCATCCCCAAGGGCTCCCAGGGGTCAGAGAGGTCACACCAGCTTATCCTATTAGACCTAGGGAGCACTTTGCAGTTTACAAAGCACATATATTGCTACTATCTGAAACCTCCTTGAGGGCAGGACATTCTCTGTCTTCATCCCCGTTCTATCCACTCCACCCCCAGAAGGGCCTGGCATATGGCAGGTACTCAATAAGTGCTTGGTGAAGGTATCCATGGATGACCTCACTGGTGTCTCATAATGATCCTGTGAGAGGAGCAGGTGGGCTCTGTGAGGCCTTGTTACAAATGAGGACACTGAAGCCACATGGCCAGTAAACAGTGGAGTTTGGAAGAAGGAGGTTCTTATAAGTCTGAGTTCAGACACTCCTGTTTCCAAAGAGGGATCTCAGCAGAGTAACAGAAACCACTCGAGTATACGCAGCAGAGGGAGCAAGCTATAGAGAATTGGTTACCTGGTAATGGAAGAGTTGAGAAGCCAAACAGCACAATGAAGTAATTCAGAGATGAGCAACAACAGTGAGACCCTTCCTTCCCTAGGCTTGAGGGACAGAGGCAGGAAGTGGGGTTACCAGAGCCCAGGAGCTGGGGCCACCTGGTGGAGACTGGAGGTGCAGTGGCCTCTCTATTGTGACGTGGAGCCAAGGAGGAGACTCCCTCACTGCTCAAGCAGGTGCTCATGACTGAGATATCAAAACAACCCCAAACCCTTGCAAATTGAGTCAATTCTGACTTGTGTTACAGAGTACGACTGCCCCATAGGGTTTTCTTGGCTGTAATCTTTATGGAAACAGATCGCCAGGCCTTTCTTCTGTGGCACTGCTGGGTGGATTTGAACCACCGTCATTTAGGAACCTATGACTGAGACAGAGGGGGAGAAATGCCTTGGCTTCTCCCTTTCTCTCACTTTCCTGTCTTCCACTAGTGCTTCTCATTGGCCAATCCAGCCAGAAGTCAACTGACAAAAGAGCCTGGGAAGCGCAACCTGCAGGGGTCAGCTCCCTGTGATACAGAGTAGAGTAGAAGAAGGCAAGGAATGGGTCTGAGGACAAACAGCCCCAGCACTGGCACAGGATACCGCCTCATAGCTATGCATTCACCCATTCATTCATTCATTCATTCAAGATATATTCATTGAGCATCTGCCATGTTGCAGGTACCACACTAAACCCGGGAGATACACTGGATGACACTTTTCTTACTCATCATGGGGAAGACTTTCAGTGGAAACAAGTGAGGGAGGAGACAGAGGTCTAAGTGACCCCTTTGAGAAGGGTGGTGAAGTAGAGGAAGAGTGTGAAGTTAACCTTTATCGAGTTCATGGTAGATGCCAGAAACCTTACATACATTATCTCACTCAACCCTTTATTCCTCAAAAATGCTCTATAGACTGTTATAATAATACCAGAACTAGGTGGTATTATTATTCTTTCCATTTCACAGATGAAGAAATGGGACTCAGAGAGGTTGAGCAAGTTTCCCAAGTTATGTAGCCTAAAAGTGGCAGAGCTTGGATTCAATTTCAGGTCCACCTGTCCCTAGGCCCCAGCTCTGCCCACACAATGCGCTGCCCCTGGACCAAGACTATCTCACAGTTAATACTTCTGGAGTCTGTGCGAATGGTCAGTCACCAGCTCTCACAGTCTTCTAGCCCCAGAGAGTGAGGCTTCCTGGGGGACATCCCAGCCAGTAGGCCTGGCACCTCACCTTGGACCCAGGGCGTCAAGCTTTGTTACCAGCGGTTAAGGGAACTGTAAGCCTTCAAAAAGAAAAATTTCATATTGCATTTTCACTCAATGGTCTCACTAATGATTTGTTGATTCAAAAATCTTCTTTATTTATTGAGAGTTATGCCTACCCGTGGGGTCCATAACCCTGGAAATGAAGATTCTGGTTTAGAATGTGGTAAGATAGTTTTCTTTAATATAAAATAAAATTTAAAAATCTGAAAGCAAAAGTGATTAAAAAACAAAACAAAAAGAAATAAACTCATTTCTTCTAGTTAAATATTCTTAACAAAGAAAGGTGCCTCTAATTCCCAGATGGTGATGTTTGCCAAGCTCTTCTCTTCATCTGGGCATTACAATCACATTTATTGAACACCTACTATGTTCTTCTAAGGAGTCCCTGGGTAGCACAAACGGTTAAGCCCTTGGCTACTAACTATAAGTCTGGCAGTTCAAACTCACCCAGAGACACCTTGGAAGACAGGCCTGGCCATCTACTTCTGAAAAATCAGCCATTGAAGACCCCATGGAGCACAGTTCTACTCTGACACACATGGGGTCGCCATTAGTCGGAATTCACTTGAGGGCAACTGGAAAAAAAGAAGGCTTGAGCAGTGGATAATGAGGAAGAGTCTACCAGAGGAAGCAGCAGGAGTGAAGCCAGAGCCTAAAAGAGCAGGCGCACTGGGGAGCTGCAAGCGGTTTCCTGTCCTGTGAACAGAGTGTGAGGGGATTAGCAATGGGAGCGGAGACAGAGGGGTAGATAGGGGTAAATTACAGAGTCATCCATGCCGTATTACGGCCCTTAGATGTAAGTGACAGTGCTGGGCTCTACAAGGCATTCAAATACTGTTTCTTATTTCCAAGAGTATGGAAGAATAGTTTAGTATGAAATAACCAGGATCCACTCCCACTTGAGCTACCCTGTGGCAGGCAGGATACACTTTTAATATGTGCTGTGAGGTACAGAGATCTGGGTTAGATCTGCACGTAAATCTTAGCTCCATCACTTACCAAGTCATTTGACCTCTCTTGGTCTTGGTGTCCTTAGCAACATGGAGCCAATATTATACAGCTCTCAGGATGTTGGGAGGATTAAATGAGAAAATGCAGGCATGGAAAGTGCTAGTACAGTGCTTGGTACACAGCAGGTGCTTAATCAGTGGCGGTTCTGGGCTCGATGTGAGGCAAGCAGCGGCAGTGAGCTGACTGATGGTCAGAGAGGCTCAGAAACTTAGTGCCCCTCGTTTGCCCTTCTTCTGTACCAAATATAAATTCATCTCTCTGCAGAGGCAAGAGCTATTGTGTGTGTTCATTAAAGGGCAGAATTTGGTCGTGGGTCCACCAGAAAGGCATTGCCAGGAGTAGCAGTGTCCTCATGGTTTATTTATTCCTCGTGGGAGATGCTAATATTGTTCTGTGTTCCCTTCTTCTTCAACTTTATATAATTAGAAGGATAAAAAATTGTGTTTACCCACGTGCACATGGAGAAAGATGGGGCAGCAGGCAATGAGAAGGAGCTTATACGAGGTAATTTACAAGCAGCCCAGAATGTTCATTATGCTCTATCTACATTTTGCAAGCTTGAAAAACAGCTAATTTGGTGCTCCTTGTTTGATATTCAAGACAAGGAGAGGAGTTAAGAAGAGTCATATGGAGGAGAAGCAACTCTTCAGTGGTGAGGTGAGAGGAAGGTGCATGAGCCTGGCTCCACCTGGCTGTCAGCTGAGCTGGGAAATGGGCAGGAACTATCTTTCGAGGACCGGATTGGTGGTAGCAGGTAGAAAACCAAACCAAACCCATTGCCGTCAAGTTGATTCTGACTCATGGTGACCCCATGTGTGAGAGAATATTAGAACTGCTCCATGGGGTTTCCTAGGCTATAATCTTTATGGAAGCTGATCACCAGGCCTTTCTTCCACGGAGCCACTGAGTGGGTTCGAACCAACAACCTTTAGGTTAGGAGTCAATCCCAAACCACTTGCATCATCCAGGCAGCA